GGGGGGGGGGGGGAGGAGGGGCAATCAATATCCAGCTTGTGCTGAAAAATCAATTTGCACAGTTACTTCTGAATATTTAGGTTTTTTTTGCTTTTTTTATTGAAAAACACTTTGGAAAATAACATTTACAAAACAGATGGCCATAAGTTATTAAAAGCATAATATTTTTATTAAAATATTATAAATGAATGCAAATATATTATAATTTTACTAAACATAAATACAAAAGTCAAAGTTTAAATTGCAATCTGTCTTTCAAATAAACGTTGTTGAATAACTCATGTGATATAAAGGATTAAAGAAATTATGGCTAAGAATGACCAGCAAGGCTAAAATTGAATTAAAAGCCTTGAATAATTCTTCAGACTTCTGCCATTAATTAATAATAATGCCATTGATTAAAGATCAATCCATGGCAATTTGTTCCTGAAGGAGCCTTTTAAGGCTTTCAAAACGAATCCTGTTGCAGCAATATGACATGTTCCCTTTTCAATATTGCATGCATGGAACAATGTTCAATTTTACCTACTGTATATTGTATAAAATCTGAAAATGGGAATACACTGCAAACAGACAGAATGTAATATTCATACAAACATAAGACATGCAATAACATATCCATGTAAAGAATGCAGCTTAAAAAAGAAATGCTGATATTAAATTGATTTTAATGTAAAAAAATCCAACCATAGGTGTAAAATGTTTGAAAATAAAATATCAGCAAAAAGAAGCAGTATATAGCCTACACAAGGAATTATAGTTGCTAATTCTGCAACAGCTTGTAGCCACAATTTGAAAGCAAGGCAATAACAAGATGTGTGTGTCAATAATGGTAATTACATTTTATTGTCATCACTCAGTGGAGGTTAGGCTACTTACCGGAGGCGGAAGGAGTGACTGAAGACAAGAAGGATTAACGTTCAGATGCTGTAATGCTGCCAACTCAGGGTCGCTGACAATTTGGGTTGTACTCTCAAATTATAGTAGTCAGTACAAAGACTGCACTGGAACAAAGCCAGAGAAAGCCGATAGTAGCACAATTTAAATTCCATTTCGTGTGTAGATTGTGTAATCCTTTATTCATGCCAAGTAACATACATTTAGTAGACAAGATCTCCATCTTGTCATCTTGTTTTTGGTCTAATAAGATTGGGAGTCCGGTTAAATAAACATACTGCTACACATTACTTTGGAGTTTTGCCACATTACACAATAAGTAAACATAAGAGTTTACTGTCACTAGGTACACCAGAACTGTTGTGAGGGGTAAGGCGCAAAAGTGTTTTTGTCAGTCCCACTGTTTTGAATTCAGCCCTGCACAGTCCACAGTTCTGCCTTAACAATAGGAAGCAGAAGTGCAGCACAGCCAAGAAAGATTTAATGTAAGTTTGTTTTTTATAGATTTGTTTCTTGTATGTTAGTGATCTTGTCATAAGATCTGTAAATGTTTTGTTATACAAAGCAAAACCACAGCCGTACTGAAAAACTGAAAAGTAAATATCTTAGGCCTGTTTTCTAGCTGTTGAAAGATGAACTTCATCATTTTACCAAATCAGGTTGATGACACATTTAAGGATCATGTGATAAGGAAATGAATGTGGTCTTTTTCTTTTCCCGAATTACTGCTGAGTGAGTTTGATACAAAACACATTTTTGCATTCAACAACACTAACCGCTCTACTGACTGTTTTGTGAGATGTCTGTGTGAATGATTTTGCACACGTTACATAATATTGTCTCCTAGTAAATGTTGTTGAAATGTTAATCAATCTGTTAGTAAATTACACTGTATGTGGTGCAAATATAAAACCCACTGTTATCTAAGTGACACACATCTTGCTATATATGTATACCACTTTTTCTTTGGTTTTGTATTTATTTTTTATTTCATACAAATTAGCTTTAACTGATGATCTAATTAACAGTGTGGGTGAAGGCAATCAGACCCAATGACATTCAGACATTATGAAAGTAAGAAATATTCTATTCAGTATACAGCTTGCAACTGCAAACATTTTGGGTTGACTATGTTAAAAAAAGAAAACTAGCCTATGTAGATTATCACAGCATTTCTGCTGTAATGGCATTTTTTCACCTTGGTCAATTGATTGTCCATTGTTTTTATTTCAGATGAGGCCGATCTATTGCTGCAGTGTTTTGCTGCTGCTTGCCCTCATTCC